GGGAAGGTTATGATTGTGGAGAACAGATGTAGTTCCAGGAAGGGCATCGCGTGTCGAGCCGTACAACTCCTATTAAGTGCTTCAGACCAGTAATCGTGATTAGCTGTCCATTGTGATAGCTGGTAATGAGCCACTTGTTTTATTTGTTTTTACATGTGCTAGTGCACCATATTCTGCGGTACTTATATGGCTGGAATGCATACAAGGACTAAGTTGATAACTTCGTTTAGTAACTGCATGCTTGCAATTTTTTATGTGCAGAATTCGCATTAAAATATTTTGAATTTGCGTTTATAGATAACACTATACAGATGCGCCTATGTATATTTATTATGTACTAATTAGATTATTTATTTTACAAGTCCTGTTTTTTTCGGGTTCTTTTTATTTTTCTGGGTTCCTATACCTTTACCTTTTATACCTTATGGTTGAATGCAAGAGAAGAATAAAATTAATGTATTAAAAACGTCACTTACTTCTAATAATTGTGTAAAAAATAAATTCTAATCATCTGAAATCTACATAGGTAACTCTAGCACACGATATTATGAAACTGTAGTAATAGCTTACAGGTTTAACATACCAAAGGGGGGGCGAGAAGGGAGGGGGGCAATTTGATGATGAGTCCACGTGAATCCGAGCCAATGTCAGTAGTTATCCAACAATAAATGATGTACGCAATCATACACAGGTGTCATTAAATGCCCGCATGGTTTACATTGTAATCGCTTTACTGTAGATAATCGTCCCATACACCACTCCTGCGCATGTGTACTATATTGCGCCTTTTTTGTCGTGCTTCTCTGAATACTAATAACGATTACCATACCGCTATTATGTTACGTAATAAGTATGCTAATGTAATTATTGTAAACTGTTTTAGTGACAGACTTTATTACTGTCCAAGTAAAGAGATCTTGGTTTCGGTTCCCGATTAAGTTTGCACATCACATTAATGACAGTGATTTACTTTGTCATACATGAAGTTTTAGTTCTAGTGAGCTACCAATTCCAAAAAAAAGTGGCGGCCTGATAATCAAAAACCGACGCCATCTTTCCTATACCTAATCCTTTTTCGGGGAACAAAACGTGTACTATAAATATTCTCACGAAAATGCACTTAGTTGGATCAACATTATTGACGCAAACAGATTCAAACTAAATATTTGAAGTTGTTTTGACGTAAAAACTGCAGCTGTTTTAGGTCCGGCTAAATCTATGCACAGGAACACATGCATGGGAGTTTAGAAATAAAATAAACAGTCCCACAAAGCTGTACACAAATTCCTCGTATTGTGCATAAGAACTTCTTGAATGAGTGACTAATTAGTGTTTATCTATGTAGATTCCAAAAAGTCTTACAACAACAAAAACTTAATAATGTAAAAGAATCTGTATGTGAAACTGAATTAAAAAGAATAACCATGGAGTTTCTTGCGCGTTCTTCTCCATCGGAAAAAAAATAGGTTCACTAAGAGGACTGATCGACAGACTGAAACTTTTTATCTTTGAGTTTTGTATGACGTTCAAAAGTGCCTATGAGGGTCTTATTGAAATAACTGATTTTGACTTTGACTTTGACTAACACTAAGTATTAAATAAATTGATGGTCCTGATCTGTTCGTCTGCTGACTAAGTATTACAAAGTTTAGCCGTAACTTGTAAAGGAGTTAAGTGAAGAAGAAAATAATTGATGACTTCCTTTGAGAGTGACTAATGTTTGAACACGTGTGTATATGCCCAAGAATATTTAAAATTTTCGCAATAAATCGATTAAGAGTTATCAAGTAACAACTTAAATACTATATTCTATTGATTTAAAATGCTTCTATCATAGACTTTAGTAAAAAATTGATGAGTCATGTTTGTTGGTTAAATAAAAAGTGATTTCTATCCTTTTCGAAATAAAATATTAAGACTTAAAATTATAATATGTTCCTTATGTAGTTGTCAACCTTCAAAGATTTTGCAGGTAAACTTACTTTAGCTAAGGCGTCAAAGGCCATGAAAATAGAAGGACATCTTCGACTTATCTTTTGTTACACAAACAATTACTTATCACATGCTGTAGATAAAATCCCTAATACTGTAACATACTGTATAAACAAAAGGTAGGCCGGGGACCGGACACCACATTAGTAATAAAACTATGACTAAGTTTGGTACCTAAACCTTACTAATAGAGGAAATTATGAATCATAGCTATAAGGCAAATGGGTCAATGACACATGTGTTTTCTTTGAAGAAAAAAGGTAGTCTACCTTTGTGTACATTCCAATCATACAAATTACTCACAAAAAAACTGCACTTCAAATAAAAACAAAGATAATTAACACCCGAGTACACATGAGTATAATTAGCCAGACAGACAGTACTTATTTGATGTTATGTAGGTTTATTTGTTTTTATATGCATATTTAAGGACATTAATCGTATTTCAGATACATTCTGAAATAGTAATAAATAATTACCAATACTCGAGGCCTGGTCCTGGAAGTTTAAAAAAAATTCAACAAGTCATTGTACTGATTGGAGTTACATACATAATCAATCATTGATTTGGGATTACAGGTGAAGCTATAAAATAGGTTTTATTACACTGTTTTAACTCACTTGGCATACAAATATTAATTGAAAATAAAATATCTAATATTACTTAGAAGTCAATAATTTCAAATTAAAAGTATATACATATGTTCTTACTTATATATTCATTCAAAAGTTTCATCATTGAAACTTCAAACGGAGATACATGAATAATGTTATGATTGATGATTCAGTGGCACGTGGTTTTGGACATTTAGTGGGTACACGTCTCGACTCTCGGCACGTAATGCTTTCTATTGAGAATGCCGTTGCTGGAGACTCCGTTACTTCAATTCAAATAACTGGAATAACATATCGACATCCTTATGACATTAATATCTACACAAATGTGATCACGTTCCTTTATTTAAGTAAGCAGTTGTGGACCCATGTAGTTTGTACGTGTTCATATTTGATCGACGTTTGATTATCAAGTAAAAACGGTTGCACCCTAATTAATGTCAACGTTTACAGAATAAATAAACTAAAAAAAACAATAGGTTATGTTGTAAAAAATCTTCTTTAACATGATTTTTGCCCTTAAAACCTCTTTATCATAATGGGTTGACAAGTAAATACTACCACCGGCATAGTGTTTACTATGTTTTTCCAAGTATGCAGTGGTTAAAATGTCGAACTTTGCGACCGGGTATTTTTTCCAATTAGCATTGTAACTCAGCAATGATGCGTGATACGTGCCGTTGGACGTCCCTCGAGGCTGTAGAAATTTGCATGAGTTAAGTAGGTCTGTGGAGCAGCCGCGCCGCGGGCTACGCCGAAAGATCAGCGCGGGCGCAGACTCCGACAGTACCCGTTACTCATGGGGACACACTGACCCCGATATGCTCATACGATTCCATTATTTAAACGCCTCCATCAATAATCCATCCTCCGTCGTACAGGCCGGTCTGCGTGCTCTTATTCCTTTCACTTATAACCCCAAGACAAATATGGTTTACCAGCACCAATTTACGCAGTTTCTCGACAACTTGAAACCTTTACGAGTTTCCAAAGAATTCATACTTGTAAGGAACAATAGTTTGCTCAGGAACATTGTTACCAATACGATATGTAGACCAAATAGCAGGCTACAATATTTACATTGGTACCCAGCGAGACGTACGAGTCATGCGTTTCGGTTTGTGTAACAAACAATGGCCTGCAACTTTGTGGTATTGAGTGTCAATGGCCTGGTCCCAACGGACCCAAAAACTGCCTGATTCTCTCGCGGTTAGTCATCAATATCAACATTGATTTATTTGCATTCAAAATAATGTATTCGTTGGGTTCAATGTCGAATTAGAATAAATACTTACATAATGATGTACCTGAGAACATTCCTAAATGTGTAGTTTAACATGAAGCCAGTGACAGAAATATTAAACAAATGCTTATAAACAATAGAAATACTGCACAATAAAATATGAACCGCTAGCATTTTTAGCTATATATTTTATACTGAGGTCAATCACTCATTCGTGATGATATCTGCAAAACGTACGTTTGATTTGCTTCACAAATAGAAGAAATCTTTGAAAATATGTTTAGTATTCTCTTGGCATTTGGCAGACAATAGTAAACACGGGCTTTTGGGGGTATTGACTGCGGGATTAACAGAGACATTGTTGTGAGTATTCCCCGGCGTGAGGGGGAACAAAGAGCCTGCAGGCGCATGCGCATTCTCATGCAGCGCACGCGCCCCGACACTGCCACTGCCCAAGGTCGCCATATCTCCGTATACCATCCGCGACAAGCGAATGCAGCCCTCTAATCATATACGAAACCTTTCTTTACACATTTCTGAGCGAAAACGTTGAACCCAAACGTTCAGAGATTATTTAAATCGCCATCGCTTGGATATAATCTTATGAGGCATCTACGCAACACTTCCACCAAGAAATTATCTGCTGATCCGCTGTAACGACTTGTTTAATGTTATCAAGCGAGTTGACAATCAACAATGGGCGAGTAACCTTGCGAAGATGTGAGATAATGTAACGTCACTAAGTACTTGTACTCAGATAAACAAGTTCTGCAAGTCAATTAATAGATTATCTTAGTTTTGGGACTAAGACACATTTCCTACTTATTTAGCTTTGTAAATCAAACAAAATTATGTAAAATGAACAAAATGAAAAATCCATTTCAACGCTTCCTAATTGTTTTTCTAGTAGGTATAAAGTATTATATTTAAGGGACTCTGTTATCATTCGATTGAGGTTTTGGTTTGCACTTAGAACTTATATCACTTTAGATGAACACCGCACATATGAAAGCTTTTGCACACAGTTGGTGCCTATTCTGAACACAACCTAACAGTACAAATAGTAGTTAGACGAAGACATCTTTCGTGTGAGAACAGAGGCCTACTCCTGACATGGATACGGCAGGCTGAACATGACGCCTACTTCCAGATGTACTTAGCGCAGTACGGGTACCTGAGTCCCTCAGTGAGGAATCCGTCAAGTGGGCACATCATGGACGAAAGTTCGTGGCGCCGAGCAATCGCCGAGTTCCAGAGCTTTGCCGGGTTAAACGCGACAGGTAAGGTTATCAGCCAATACATCGGTTTATCTGCCAAAGCCTGTCATTAATCTACAATTTACTGCCTACTGATGCATTAATCATACGTGTGTAATAACAGTTCCAAAGGTATTATAACGTACTACTTTCAAAGCACATGCAGTTACTTGTTTTTCAATAATGTGTTATTTCTAAGATTTAAACTTTATTTTTAACTCGAGACAAAAGATATTTTAGTTTACCAATTGTCTCGTTACAGTGTTTGCCTACTTTTTAATGCTTTGTAGGTCTATTGTAGGCGAAATAATGATTCATTGTTTATATTGTGATTCTAATTTTGTTGAAACTCATTTATAAAAATATTGTCCTGAGCAAATACTGTCTACACTGATAATTCAGTCAGTGACGTAAATATTGTAGAAAGGTGCCATTGTCCTTTAATATTCACGGACCATTAGACTTTGATTAAGAGAATCAATTTGTGGTTAGTGAAAGCGGCAGTCATTATCACTCTGCTGAAATTTTAATTTAATCTAGTTTGTGTAACACCTGGTTACAAGTCTAAGTAGTCATACTAAGTTTTGCTTCAAAGTATTTTATTGTAATCGAACTAGGAATTCATTTAATAGTTATCTCAATACGTCGGTAGCAATACGAGAAAAACGTTGTTCATTTATCGACTATTATGGTGGGAAACAAATAATGTATGACTGCCACATAAATTATAATCTAATGCAGTTTAAAATTATGGCTTCGATTTATCTATCACGAATGAATTAAAAGTCTATCGATCATTTTCACACGTTGTAATCTGCATTAATAGTAAATTGTAATCGTTATATCTAGTATCTATTGAGTAATGGGTAACGTGCGGTAACAGTAAAAAATTGCTTGACGGCGACAAGTGACCAAGCAGTTTCTAGATTACAAAGGTTGACATAATTAATGTGACGCTACCTCATTTCCGTCGCCTTGACGTTGTAAAACGGTAATACCAACTTATGAATGCTAACATGTCATTTTATCAGGGCTGTCAGCTGGCAGAAAGCCAAGTTAGTCAGTCTTCTGTAATAAATAGTTTTTCTTTATCAGCTAAAACGCATCAAATCCTTTACAATCCTTGACGATAACAAGAGACACGTTATTTGACTTGAATGTAGATTAAGCAAATATGAAAATTTTAACGGTAACCCTTATTAATCGGTCGTTAGTTCTGTACAGTTGGATGGATAGCCTTGGTCCTCATCACAGTTATTACAATGACACACGTCTACGGAGCAAATTGTAAGTCTGTGCGATATCCACAAGCGAGTATTTAAGCACGGTAGAATTATGTGGGCAGTGCTGCGCTCGGCTTGGTACACGTACGTGCCTTGACACGAGAAGTAGTTTATTGGTCCCAACTATGACTGAAGCCAGTGTTGTTATGTAAGCAAATAACGCACACACATAAATACATAATTCATTATCGGTCACTGCACGAGTTCGGACGAGCTTGTGACAAACACTGCGTTATGATACCTTTAAAGATTTTATGATGACGTCCACATAGGGTATCATTTATGCAGGTACTAGGAATTGTAACCTACTAAATGAGAAGAGAACCGACGTAAATGTCTGTTTACATTAATATGAAACATTCATTAATTCTTCTTCCTGCAACGGAGATAACTTAATATGAAGTATTTTTCCTTATGTCGTATAAATTTTACAACTACATTGTTATTCCCCGTAACTATGAATGTAAATCGATCGCGCCGTCGTCAACTCACAGCTGATCAGTGCTCGGGGCGACCATGGTTCCTCATTATTCGTTTTCCGTGTGCGGTTTTGGTCGATGTGCTTCTGTAATTACTTCCTTGTCATCGTTGGTTACAAAAAATCTATGTTTGTCATTCGACACTCTGATGTAGTATTTACGAGATAAATTCAGACAAATGACATAATAATTGAAATTCAGCTGTGCTCTGGCACGATATTCTATTTACATAAATGTATTTGTTTCCTATCAAACTAGGTAGTTAGTTAGTCATGACAATTTAAACCACAAAACATACAAATACACTGTTTAAATATTTATTGTTGACGTACGTTTACAGGTGAATTAGATGAAGAGACAACGAAAGTAATGTCATTGCCAAGGTGTGGCGTGCGAGACAAAGTAGGCTTCGGGGAGAGCCGAGCCAAGAGATACGCGCTGCAGGGTGAGTGGCCGTCTGTCTAAATATTATTCACATTCACTTGTATAACAAACTAAATAACTATTTGATCATTGCCCTAACCGCCCTCAACAAACACTCAATTAGTCTGAAATTTTAAGTCGTCTTGTAAATATTGATATCATTGTGTTTATCCAGGTTCAAGATGGCGTGTGAAGAACCTCACCTACAAAATCTCCAAATACCCATCTAAGCTGAACCGTGCTGAAGTCGACAATGAACTTGCCAAAGCCTTCGCCGTGTGGTCTGACTACACGGACCTTACCTTCACACAGAAGCGGAGCGGACAAGTGCACATCGAGATCAGGCAAGTTTATTTCATGTACTAAGATAATGTGTTGGCACTGTGTTTTTAAATTTGAGGTGGCGTGTCAATATCCAATAGTGCATGAAGGTCACACTAGTTCGCAGTTTCAACACTTTTAGGTCTCTACTCTCTTGTATAGTGAAACGTTGCAAGAAATTTCGAATGCTCGAAATTTTACCCGTTAATAACTATTATGGCTTAGAATGTAACAGAATTTCAACAGGTGTCATTGAAACTACAAAACTATAAATAACATTGCAAACTATAAATTAGGTAATCCAACATTTTGGTTCTGCGACTTTCAGTTTAATTTCGTATTGTAACGTGCCCGATCGAAAGTTTATTCAAAAATTAGAATTCTGTTCGTGCGAAACGGAGTTTTATTAAAATGAGTGTTTCGTGGTACTGCGGCGCGGCCATCGTGCATCGTTTAGATCGGTGCACAGATATTGAAATCGTGCCAGTGGCCGTGCCGTATTGTACGTAGGGTTATTTGAATCACTCATAATAGGTTTTTGGTCACAATCCGCGGGTAATCTTTGTTGCGTAACTACGCGAATGGTCGTCATTGAGCGATGGACGCGTAACTACTAACTACTCGTACTACCTCATGCAAATTACTTTGATTCGCGATGTTCATTGATTTGATACAACATTTTATTACCGTTTAATGTCACGCTGAAGTTTTATTTGCCAATTAACACTTAATTAATGTCGATAACGTTTCTTTAGGTGTTTCATTTCAATTTTATGAATACAAGAAAGCTAATAATTTGTATTGTAACAGCTATGTATTATTATATTATATGTACGTATTATCATAGTTCGCTTGTATTCCAGGTTCGAGAAGGGAGAACACGGAGACGGTGATCCTTTCGACGGTCCTGGTGGCACTCTTGCCCACGCTTACTTCCCCGTAAGTACAAAAATGCTTTCAATACTATGGTTGCAGGCGTTTTGCGGCCCGGAGGAGGAGAAAGAACAGAGTAGTCAGCAAGAGTCTGACACTCCCACTAGCAAATGATTATGTCCTCTCAAAAAATAATAATATAACGTTTAATATTGTTACTGGTAATTCTTTGTTAGATCTGATTATTTATTCAATACAGCAAGATTATTAACGTGATTTAAGGGGCATGCTAAGTTAACTATGGAAAAAGTACCGCAAAGTTCACAGTATGTAGATAATGTATACTATCTTCTTTAATATATAGTCGAACATGTGCCAAGCTATTAGTGGTCGGATATTAAACAGTGTTTAAGCAAATGTTTTATCGATTTTACTATTCAGGTCATGTTGCAATAGACAATTGGAATTATAATAAGCTGTCTAGGATAGTTTTTATACGTTTTGTTATAAATGACGATTCTAATCGTAGAGTACATGACGAAATGTCTGGTATTCACCTAGCTGTATATTTTTTTCAACTTTGAATGTATTTTAGCTTTTAGGTATTTTGTTAGCGTACAGGTAGAGGTTCATTGTCCTTTGAACTGTATTACCCGTAGGAATATGTTTATTGTGTATACCCAATACTATAGAACTAATTTGATTTAACTGAATCTGTAATTTCGCCCATCTCTATGTTGAAAGTTTGACAGTAAAAGTGAAATAGCATTGCGTCCGAATACCCCTGTTATCAGATGAATTAACATTTGCACTCAAATAAAATAGAACAAGTCATTATGCGGTTGGAAATAAAAATAGCGGATGTAACAGATTTACACGTAAACAGTGAAAGTTTTTTTGTTCAGATAATGGGATAATAAAACGTTTGATTGTGTGAAACGAATTATAATATTTGTTCTGTTTAGCTTTGTTGCGAGAGGACCGCTAAACATACGGAAAACACTTTTCTTTTTTACTCGATTTGCATACATTTAAAAGCGTTTAAAACCCGCTAAATGGCTGACTTACTGACTGACTTTGACTAACGTGGCTAAGTGTTGTGTTAATAACAAAAGTAAATGTTGGATATCCTTTATCCTAGTTTTATACATTCACTTGACACAAGTAATCAAGTTCTGTTGCTGGGTCGCGTCGGCTATTTTAGAACTAGAAATAGACACGTTTACGTGACCTAGATATTGCCAACTAATACTTTTTATAGCCATGTAGAATTTTGTAGAGTTGGATAGCAAATTGTTCCCTATACCTTTTTTTTAACAAAACTTTGCCCCACACTGGGATTTTCTCCTGTGTTGTAGGCGCATTTAGAAACATACACATCACACCCATACCCAACCACAATTTGTGGATCAAACAAAGAGTTGTTCCGTGCGGGAATCGAATTCGCAACACGCAGCCAGTTGCATAGCCACCGCGCCAACCGTGCAGTCAAAATACTACTTGACGTTATTAAATAAAAAAACGTAAATATGGCATTTATATTGCGCAATGTTTACATACAAGAATATTTAGTTTTAAAGCCAGGAAATACAAAGTAATCTATGTTTACTTACCTACCTCTCACAACTAAACGTGGAACAAAATTAATACAAGATATTGCAGAATCAATCAATTTAATTACCTACTAAGAATTGTACGTGCGGCCGGCTAAGATTTTATAACAATATGACAATTATTGATTCATCACTAATGATGTTGATTTTCCTCAATGACTGCTCGTTCGTGCAGGTGTACGGCGGCGACGCTCACTTCGATGACGCTGAGATGTGGTCCATTAACTCGAGGAGGGGCACCAATCTCTTCCAGGTAATTACGACAAGAATTTATTTAAACAATCTAAATAGGTATTTATAACTTTATCTCTTAGTACATAAAATTTCAAGTTGGTTGATAAAATAAATTAGGTAACAAAAGTAAAATAACTTCATGATTGCAGGTCGCTGCGCACGAGTTCGGTCATTCTCTAGGGTTGTCCCACAGTGATGTCCGTTCAGCACTCATGGCTCCTTTCTACAGAGGTTACGACCCTGCCTTCCAACTAGACCAAGATGATATTCAAGGAATTCAGGTAAACAAAATTGTGCAAAATAAAAACAATAAATCCTTACTTACATTTGGCATCTTGATTATATAATTTTTGTTATGATTCACAGGCTCTCTACGGACATAAAACACAGACTGACATCGGTGGGCCCTTGCCGGCAGCGCCATCTATCCCACGCGCCACTACACAGCAACCTTCTGCCGAAGACCCTGCACTCTGTGGTGACCCTAAGTTCGACACCATTTTCAACTCTGCGGACGGTGGCACCTTCATATTCAAAGGTAACAAACATACTGACTATCTGTGTCGTGCAGTAGTTTTGGCATTGTTATTAAAATTTTACTGACATTTTTTTTCTATACTGTGTTTTTATACAATAAAGATTCACAATAGAAGGAAGCTGAACCAGTTACGGTAAATCGGAGGCTTCTACCAAGACACTACAAATATAAAAGTTCAAACAGGAAACAAATGAAACGAAATAGAAGTTTAAGGTGATTTTCTATGATTTTCCAGGTGAACATTACTGGCGTCTTACCGAGGACGGCGTTGCATCTGGATACCCTCGTCTGATCTCAAGGGCATGGCCTGGTCTGCCCGGTAACATCGATGCTGCCTTCACTTACAAAAACGGCAAGACTTACTTCTTCAAGGGATCCAAGTACTGGAGGTACAATGGCCAGAAGATGGACGGAGACTATCCTAAAGATATTAGCGAAGGTAAAAAGAATTCAATCATTTCTCTACTTATTTGGCAGTTACGATCACATTCAATAACTTCTAAATATTTGCATTGCTTATAGAATTTGCCCTTCTAATTTGTAAATGTCTCCTTCAGGTTTCACTGGTATCCCAGACAATCTAGATGCTGCCCTCGTCTGGTCTGGCAACGGCAAGATCTACTTCTACAAGGGATCCAAGTTCTGGCGCTTCGATCCCTCTCAAAGGCCGCCTGTCAAGGCCACCTACCCTAAGCCTCTGTCCAACTGGGAGGGTATTCCTGACAGTATTGATGCCGCTCTGCAGTACACTAATGGATACACGTACTTCTTTAAGGGTGGTTCATACTGGCGGTTTAATGACAGAACTTTCAGTGTAAGTACCTAACATTAAGTTGTACATTATGTGAAAAAAATCTATGAATGTGTTTAACATTGTATAAAAATGTATTCAGGTCGACTCAGACAATCCAGCGTTCCCGCGGTCGACGGCATTCTGGTGGCTCGGCTGTAGTAGCGCGCCGAAAGGCACCGTAGGAGGTAACGCGCGGCTCTCTGACAGCGCCAACCCCGAAGGCGACGATGACGTCGGAGATATACTGTTCGACGCAGGTAGGCGGACACCCAGGACCGCGCGACCGACAACTCTTGTCTGACAGTGACTTTATAACAATACTATTACGACGCAAGAAGACTAAATATCGAACCCCTAATGAATTTCAGCATTAAAAGAAATCCTAAAACTGGCAATGCAATCTCAAACTCATTGTGTAAAGACATAAGTCTACATTAAATTTGTTACTAAAACTGATGCACTTTTTTGAAAGACACATTTTTTTATGACTAAAAGACAATGGTCCAAACTACTGCAGCGTGACTTGACTGACTAATTTTTACACAACAAGGGCATAAAAATTTAAAAGGATTTATTTAAAAAAAGAAAAACACCCTCTAAGTGTTAAGAGGCCATTCAAGCCTAAGTACTCTCTTGACAATGACAGCATTGACCACCCCGTTTATATGACAGTAGGGGACGAACCACTCGTCGACTCCAGTTTTCCATGTCTGCTCCTGTCTCTATGTGGATGTCTATCTATTAGATGTATTGTAAACTCTTCTCGTAAACTTGTCCAATATGTGTATGTTTTATATGTTGTAGAACCAAACTGAATTTTAATCAATACCTACTACTGTATCGATTGAAATAATCTAAGTCTAACAACCTTCTATTTATAATTTCGGTAATGGTTCTCATGTACTAACAAAATTAACATTATTTAGAAATTTTCATTGACTAATCGATTTACCAACTACGTGAAAATTAACTTTTCAGCTTCTTAACAGCTTTTAATGGAAAGCTACTTAATAATAATATTGCGTATAATTGACGGCTTATATTCCTTCTAACAAATATGAGCTCCGTGCTTACATGGCCGCAGTGTAATTAACATAAGGTGGTGTTGCCTGTGTGGTGCTGGAAGAATGAGTTAAGCTGACGGTGTTCTGGTTTTCGACCTCGACGACTTTCGCGGCTTCTGGGCTCCTCCGAACCTACCTGCTGTTGATAAAATTGCGGCACTCTGTTATAAAAACAAATACTTTCTAGCCTTATCCATATACAATTAGACAGTTGCCAGTTTGCCGCAGTTTTATCAACGCAATCGTCGAAATTTGCGATTTATTTTTGGTCAAAATAATTAGTTTCACTTTGCAATGCAAGCACAGAATTAAGCACTTGCACCGATTAAGTAAAAGTTTGTACACCCACGTCATTTACATTTGTCGAATCGATTACGTTAATACCAAATAGTATTCAACAGTAAACACAAGTTATTTACATGGTCATACGATTGTCTTAACCTGCAATATCAAATGCAACTTATGATTAAATTCATATACTTGCTTGTCGATCCGGCAAATAATGCAAACCAAACTTTGTTGATTATCCACATATGTGTTCAATGTTTGCACCAACATTTGTGTTGTTTGAATAATTTATTTGTGACGTCACCAACAACAATCAGTCACCGTGATGTGTAATGCCATTAAACCGGTGGCTGGGGCGTGTTCACGTTTCGATGTGTGTGTCTTTTATTTCTAGGTGTAAAATCATCCGCTCCCAGATCATTCTTCTGGTTCAGGAAATAGCCTCGACGGAGTGTTCCTGAATATTGTACATAGAGAATTTACATAAAGAACAAAGACTCAATTAGTTACATAAATATAAGAATACCAGTGAGATTATAGAACATAAGCGGTGATTTTAGTACCGGCGAGCTTGTCGCGTGCTGACGTACGTTTTATTTCATTTCACTTGCATGTTTACTGCATGGTAGATAGGCGCTTGCTTCTGTGGTGGTGACACGCTAGCTCGGGCAGAGCCCTGTATGCTACAGTAACGCTTTGCTTATCATACTCACCCTAATTATACTTTATTGACGTTCATCGGCAGACAAATTCGAATTTAGCAAAAGGTAACAATCCGTTTGCCTTAATATTTATCTACCTACGAACGTCAGGTGATGGAAGTTTAACTAGCCAATCTTAGCAGCATCTTGGGGTCTGGGTATACTTTTACTTTACTTTGGTTTAGAATACTAATGTTTACCTTACGTATTATGAAGTAGTTAGCAACTAAAATTAAATTATAATGTTGTACACGATGAGTACGTTTGTCACGGATTTGGTGGCAGGACACAGTAGGATAAAAAACATTGTTCATAAAATTCATCGGTTTCCAGGGTTGTCGAAGCATAAAATAAATGTATTCGTGTTGAACATTTAATCATTGCAGCAAATCGTTCGTTAATTTGACGAAGGACAGTTATCACATGTAAGATAAAGTTTATGATAAAGTACACAAAATAAAAGCACCCTTGTTTTGTTTTCAAGCACTGTGTATTCACAGGTAACATACAATAATACACACGAAATACTTTAAAACAAACAGATTACGTACCTATGACAAAAAATATATTGTGGGATCAATCATTGATTTTCTAAAAGTAGAAATTGCGAAGACAGAGAAGACTAGGTTTTAAAGCCCAAAATAAGTTTTTGATTACAGTTGAACGACAAATAAATAAAAACTTTTTGTTTGAGCATCTTGGGACTCGTGCTGTCATACAATTTTAAATTAACAACGAATCTTTTTAAAATAAATAAAAACAACAGTTTGCATGTCGAATGGACACATTATACATAATATTAAGTTTAATATACCTGTAGTAAAATGTCATGTCATGCCATTCTGGTTAAACAAACTATATTAGTTTTGTGACTAACACCAACGTCTAGCATGAAGTTTTTTATTTAACAATCAAGTACGTAGTTAATCATGTTTGGATACCTATGAGTTATTGAAAACTAGAAAAAAAACTCAAATAAAAATTAGTCATGCATGTTGTAAGTACTTTTAAGGGAGGTTTTTCGTCTCGCTGTATTATTATTGAAGTAGTTGATGAGACGAATCCTTCATTAATTATGGTGATGATGTAGGCGTTGTGTAAATAGTAGTTTGTATTAGTTGCACATTGTAGTACCGGTTGTGGGGAACTAAAGTAATGTTGCTAAAGGCAAGTTGATGTTTCAGTGGTGAGCGTTCAGTCTTCAGGCGCTAGACTGTAACATGAGGTTCACTCGGCCCCAAGCCGCTTCGTATATTAGGAGGGTATCACCACCTCCGCCGCGTCTTCACTCACCCGCATCTGTAGGTCTATTTTAATTTCCATTATGATTTCTACTGTTAACTCCATTTCTTATTGTTTGTTGCCATTTACGGAATGAAAAGTCGCTTAGATTCACTCAAGACGAGCTGGAAAGCTGACTTCGTCATAACTAATCAGGTCGATCAGACTGATATTCGTAAACGAGGATTTTTATTATTTTTACAATAAATTATAGAACGCTCAAGTTTATTAAGATCCCTTTAAACGAAATGGATTTAACAGTTTCGTATATTCACACATTTTACATTTGTGTTCTTGTTTTGTCATAATATGTCCAATGTACTAATGCACAATGTTTATTAAGTAATGTCACTACAAGCAGCGGGTACTTTACTGTGCACCACAGCACGACAGCATGTTAGTACGAGGACTATCCCACTTATTCCAACTGGCTTTATTTGATGGAGGAAAGAATCCGTTGCTGTTTCCATAATTTCTTTTTGCAATTAAAAATAAAACTTAAATAAGAAAAAGCTAACGGATTTGTTCCTAACTTTCTAATCAAGCGATTGGGAAAGTGGTAGTTCTCCCTAATCCTAGGTCGTGTAAACATAAAAGTGTTGTGTATGCAGATGGGTCGGATTCGGGCGACAACAGCGGGCGCAGCAGCGCGAGCGCACGCGGCCTCATGACGCCGCTGTCGCTGACTGCACTCGCGACGCTGGTGGCGCTAGCGAGCAGGGCGCTGCAGCCGCGCGCCTAGCGCCTGACGCGCATCTAGCGCCCACTCCGCGCCTAGCGCCCGCCGTCGGCGCCCGCCGGCGCCCACCGCGCGGCCGCGACACTGACTGTGATGGTGTACTGTGTGCCTGGACGCGTTCGGTATATTGTGTATAGCGAATGCGCTACTGTGATGACGAGTGCGCCTTTTTATACTGCGAGAACGATAATTTAAAGCGAAGTCATAGTTTTTATACTTAAGATAAATAGATGATGTAAGCTCGTGTGTGATATTGACGTAAGCGACGATTTTTATATTAAAATATTTAAAGTGACCACATTACTGGATTTTATTTCAAACCCATATCAGTATCGGGGGTAAATAATACTCGCGTTTGTATTTTTAATCGGTTTATTTAACGTTTTTCTGTTTTCCCAATAATTCTTCTTAAGTTATTAATTACAGTTTTAAATATGACAATATTTTTCGTTTTTATTCCATTTTCATAAACGCATTTTTTTAATAAACATTTCACAATTCATCATAACACGGTCGTGCGACCTACTGTCTCAATCGTTCTAACTCTTAGGAAAATGCAAATAATATTAAATTTCAAAATCTGTCTACGATTATTCGAACGTGATTAATCTTACTTCGAGTGTCGAACGATGTCTACATGCGACGGTGGCGCGGCCCGCGACTGACTACGCGCCCGCTACGCCGTGCCTACGCCGCTCCTTGGCTACGACGTAGTCGGCGTAGCGGGCGGGAGTGGCGGCCGCCGCCACCCGCGAGCCCTCGTCGCACACTAACAGTTTATAATCATTTAGAAGGCGTAACATAAGACTTATTACACGATCACTACTCGAGAAACACCTACAAACACATCCTAGATCATATCAATATATCGGAGCCCGCGTGCTGGCAGTGAGTGGGCGCCGCGACCCGCCCGCGCCCGCGCTGCGCGCCGCGACCGCCCTCAAGTGCTTATCCTTGTTATCATTATGAGTTAAGATTTTATTCTACGCTACCTCTCTCACTATGAATTAGGCATTTTAATGATATTATTTATAGAGATTAAAATTATGTTTAAGCAGTCCTGATGACAGATCGACAATTATTTTAATGTACTTTTCATCAACAGTGCAATCCTAACTACATATTTTATAAAAAACAATATATGTATTTAACATAAACATTCAATTTCGGTATATCATGTGTGTTTTAAAGTCCTCATAATCATACATATATTTATATGATCTAGAACTCATCAGGAATAAATGAGACCGATGTGATTCTGTACAGTTTAGAACTAAATACGAACACGCAACCACACGTTCAGTGTAAAGAGTACAAAATGTACGAGGAGTGCCCTCCCACTCCTCCCAGTGGAACCAAACGGTACAGTCAATGAACGGCTACAAGTCTCACCTAGAGCCAACGTAACGCTATCAAACGTAACACAAAACATTTACTTTTAATGGAAATAACACTAATGACATTCATTATATTTATACTAATTATGAACAGAGCTTCAAACAAATAAGTAGATAGATCGCAGCCATTTGTGTTGTAACATTCAAAATTTTATATTCGACATACCTCAATGTTCCTACATCTGTATCAAATACAGACAGACTTTGTGTAAGTACACGAGCGCGCAGACTTGGTCAGTGACAACTGACCATAATTTAAATAATAGATGCTATAATGAGGTACGCAAAACTAAATCGTAATAGAACTGGACAAGCGTTACATTGCAGGTGCTATAATAACTCGCTTACTTTAACAATTGACATAGCACTGTGACAAAGTTAAGGACCTGACGACACTAATAACTGCCATGCAGACATTAAGCATGTATTTAAGTTAATCTACTGGTACCAACACGACTAACAAGATTCTGTGTATGTTGGGCTGCATCTCTGAAGATTAAAGATTAGATATTTGATAACAAAGACTTCCAAGTGCTTTCGGAGGCTCAGGCAGTCATTATTCACTTATTTATACTGCATTCCAGTAGCTCACTATTAGGCAGTAGTAGTACAGTTACATCGATGTGCCTGAAGTATCACAAGCCCCCAATCAAGTATCAACCAGTATCATCAACGCTTCAACATATCTATATTTTTTTATTTTACATTTTATTCAACAACAATTTTACTAAGCTCCATTACATCAAAGTGGCGACTTTGATATTTATAACTGTCAAATGCTGACTATATTCTTCTTCAATTTAAATGCATCTGATGCATTGGTAAATTAATAATGAACTATTTATGCGTGAATTTCATTTACATGTACGTATCTGCTATCTGCCTGCCCGTGCACCTTATTAACATTCAGAATAATATATTAAATATATTATTACATGGAACGGCTTTGATTTATCTACGTATTTGTACAATAAAACATGTGACATAATAAAATTATAAAATGATATTACCCAACGATTAGAATCTAAAGAGAAACTTTCGGGGTTGCAACTTGAATCGCTTACTCATGAAACTCTCCGTTTAAAATAAGGTACAAATTGTTAAATCTATTTATATGTATTATGTATTGATACACTAGGTATAACTTCATAAGACTTGATACATTTTCAAATGTGTCTTAATTTACTTAACTTTTGCCTAAATTGTGGAAGGCCATATCGTACTCGTATCCTGTTATTGCAGGCAACCATTACGTCACCTAACTTCAACCACATTACTTCACAGAGGATTCGTACACTTTCAGAAACTCATACAACTCAAGCCGAATTGTAAACTAAATGTTTCTCGCATGGAACTTATGAATAACACAGAAACTAAAAGAACTCTTCATAATATTTTATTGTAAGTATTATAAAGTAAACGAAATCAACGTTTTGCGTAACAAAATCATCAATCGTGAATCATATTCGTTGTTTCTTAACATTCAGTTGTGGTATTAAAATGAATACGATCATCTTTGAACATTAAAGCAATCTATTCGGTACTTAGTTAATTATTGTAGACATTTAGTTTAGTAAACGAACTATCACCGGCATGGCTTTCGCTAGAATGTTTTAATACCACAGCCGAGTTACATCTTACATTTTATACCCCTAAGCATAGTGACATCTACTGGCAGTCATCGAAAATAATAAATCGTACAAAATATATAATCATCACGATCACGGAAACATTCCATCGAACTTCATTGAATACTATGTATACGTACCTATTAGTACTGAGTGAATATAACACGTTATATGTATTCAAGTACATATCACAGCGATTGGAACCAAAGTGGAACGTACCGTACGTTGCTTTGTTTATTACTTACTATGTCGCGGATAACTGTCGTGTATGTAAAGGCTACGATTTGGTGTTTTGCTTACTTATATTACTATCTGTACTCTTGTGAACAATAATGTACGAAATACACATTTAAAACGATTAATCATCGATGGACGACCCCGAAAGCCTAACCTTCTGTTTGTTTTGTGCGTGTGTGTGACAGTCAACTGAGTTGCCGCGCAACCTAAGGTGAGGGACTTAAAATATAGAACAGTACAACTAGTTAATTCCTGATTATCGAGTAATTTACATTGAAATGGACTTGAGGTAAGGTTGCCGCGCCGGCGCCGGCCACGCAGCGCGCGGCGGGGCACAACGGAATGTCAGCAAGAGAACCACGATATGGCAGACAAACGAACGAGATCTCGGCAGCAGACGGAGCATGGAACTTCCTACAATCATTATTTCCTAATCTTTACTTCCCAGATACATTTTACAGCTAATACATACGTTTTCGTACACTGCTTTACATCAGCTTTTCATCATATTATTTGTGCGTTAAACATTTACACTTTATTATGTACATCAAAACATACGTATATTATTTCGTAAACATAATGTATACACTATCACCAAACGTTTAACGAAAATCAATAATACACCCGTACACTAAACCTAGAGAGAATGGCACGTTTTGTGTGAGTGCACGTGTGTGTGTGTGTGTAGTCGGTAAGGCGCGCAGCGCGCACGCGCACGCCGCGTACTGCACCGATCGTCACCGCTCGTCTCACGTCACGCCCTTACTACTGTTTTCTTTGAATCCTGCTGACTCTTTGTTTGAGTCATACATTTTCAGGAAGCGCTCATGTTCGTTTTTTGGGTGTAATTGTGTATGTAGGTTCTTATGACGAAATTTTAAATTAGGTACATATTTTTTCATCCAGGTTTCGGAATCTACGACATACCTTGCGGGGCTGTGAGATGATTGTCGTTATTGAACAGTTGACAAATGAAAAGCATCAGTACTTAACATCCGAACCGAACTCCTCTCTTTTGGTCTTTCACTATCTTCTACTCTACTAAAGTGAACGAGTGAAGACATCGATAGTGTACAGTGGCAACACCCACAAGAAGAAATGCACGGTCAATGTGTAAGTTTTAACGAGTGCTCGAAATTGATCCAATTAATTATGTTCTAGTAATTCATTTTCTATTACTAAATTTTAGACATTTTGATAATTTAATTTATATAAGATAGATACACGTTGATACCATAGAAGAGCACCTACGCAGTAGGGCGACGTACAGCTCGCAACACGTTGCTGTTTACTTTAATTTAATTATGTGCATTAAGACCCGACTCTCTGAAATGAGTTTATTAACCAGAAACTTTCCTTATTTAGATACTCTAGTTAGACTCTTAGATTAAATATGCAACCAAACATGTATATATTTATATCTGTGAATATAGAAACAATAGGTATCAATTTGTGACATGAACCTCAATAAAGTGTTAAAATATCTGTATTCAATGAATAGCAAACAATTGATTTCAAACTTTTTATTGTTAACATCTCTCGAACGCTAATTCCTACTATAAACTCTCTTGAAGAGACTAACACTATGATTCTCAACATTTTACTTGCAACTGCGGATACCGAATGTATGCGAACGACGCGATGGCGAGACTACTCTACCGTTCCAGGGATGGAGGATGGAGGCGACTGCTGATGAGCTAAACAACCGGGCAGGTATGCGCGCAGTGTGGTGCCAGTTCCCGAGTGAAGGCACTGAGGAGCGCGAGCGAACGTACTCGACTGAAACAATAACGACTCACTGATCTATTGTCACCACTTGCTCACACCACCTACTAACTAGTCTACGTAGTGAACTTTACTCAAGGAATATTCTCTATGAAAATAGATGATAGCTTCTGTAGGCGAAGTTTTGTAAACGTCGAGTGATATGAGTGTGAGGCATCAGTATTGCCGAGAACGTGGAACCACGGCTCGGCTGGCCGCGCGGCCGTGAGCGCCGTGACGCGCGGACAGCCAGGCCGACCACCTCGTGTTGGAAGTTGACACAAACCAAGTCTTAAGAAGCGTTAATAGACCTTTAGCACCTTCGGTGACGACGATTAAGTATGGGAGTGGAAACAACAAACCGTTTTTGACATTATGTACACACGATAAAAACGTAAAAAATAACTTACTTAATATTATTATCATTTATTTGAATACAACAACTACATGCCTTCCGAGGGCAATATTCTCAACAAATGTTCATTCAATAAAGTCTTAATAACCATTAAATTATGCTCTTTTCATCACACAATGTTTAACGATACTCTTCTAATATTCTTCAAAAATAAAACAAAACTAACAAATGTTGTTACCTATAAATGTTGAAACAACAATACGATGAAGGTCATTTACCATTATCAATAGTCGACACGATATACATATACAATAATATATATTAAAAATCAATTCATATAAAAATCATTTTCAACCATTCTGTGTTACCAAAATGTTAGATCATAAGACGGAATATATTACATATAACTTTCATTATATGCATTATTCATAATATTTTACTTCTTACAAAACAACAACTACTTTATTAATCCTATATTATTTCATTTATACATAATCATGTAGTCACTATTAATTAGGCGCTGACGTGCGCGGGCGGCGACGCCGCGCCGACACTCTGCCGCAGATGGCGCTGCCTCCGCGGCGCCGGCGCACTCGCTGCACTTGTGCAACATTACAAAAATAACTCTCTAAGAAACGATCCGCCTGTACCAGTATTCCGTCTACCTATGGGGGCGTGCTCTAAAGAGTAGATTTCTGCCGTCCAGATCACGTCCCCGAAATTTGTCACGTTTCCTTCGTGCCCTACAAATTAAGGTACGATTGCAGATCCAAGAACGTTAGGTCTACTCTTCGTCGCACGGCGCGGCGTCTCTCAATGCTGCATATCCCAATCTGTCAAAGCTTGCTATTGTGGCACGTTATTGCAAGTATTTTATTGCACCAGGTCTGGTCTACATAATAATGTAGTATAAAACACATCACACGTTTTCCTAATGCAAATAACGCTTCGTACAAATGTACCCAAGTATGTACATTGATTGAATCATTGAATCTCTATGAACGACCTTTTGCGGTTCTGTATCTTAACCATTTGTAGTATTGCTTTTTCGTGTAGGTAAACTAGTCAGCATAATATATAATATAGAACATAAACTGTGTATCTTATGAACAATACAACTGTAAAACACTATGTAAAATATACGCAACATCTTCGCTTAACGCAAAACATGTATCTTTGTTTACAAATCGTGCCAAAAATATTAACATATTGGCCGGAACATCGGCAAACAGCGCTTACGAGTTAAATGCATAAAGTAATTCATGAGTGAACATTTGGTGTTTCCATACTTCGGGTGTAACCAACGAGCGGGCACAAACGTGGAGTTAGAGTGTAGGCCGCGGCGGCGGCGGCGGCTCGCGTCGCTCGTCGGTCTCGTAACCGCACGCTATTTATTATAATAAGTTCTGCACTAACAGAGGTTCCGATCGCTGGCCGGCGATCGCGGGACGCGCGGGTGCGACGCACGTTAACGTAAAACTATAACCTCGAATCGCGCACTTTCACTAAACGCGTGGCCGCGGTCCAGTGGGTCCGTGCGTGCGCGGCCAGGCCGAGCAGTAGCAGCGCCAGCAGCAGCGGCGGGCGCGGGCGCGGGCGCGGCGCACTGCCCGCCGCCGCCTGGTACGGCACCGAGCAGCCCGCCACGCGCTCCTCCACGGCCGGGCAGCGCTCCGCCTCCGGCCGCTGCGACTCGCTGAGCCGCAGCTCGCACCGGTAGCACAGCCTCCCCTCGCAGTACCAGTAGCAGCACTCGTCCCGCCCGTAGTTGGACTTGTTCGCCTGCGCACCCGTCTCCGGGATACGCGGGTCTGGAATCACACGAATCGAACGCTGGTTAAAGCGACTCCTAAACTTTACAAATACCCGTCATGTGAGTTCACATAAACCAGAAACTGATACCAGAATTTAAAGTGGAAGCCAAGTTAAACCGAAAAGTGCAAAGCAACAATTGGTCAGAGACAAAGACCTGTCCGAACACAAAGAAAAATAAAGTAGCGTGTAGTTCGCCAGAGGTAGTGTTTGCTTTGTGCTCTATCGTTTTGAACTGCGGCCAAGCCATAGCGGAAGGCTAATTGCAGCTAATCTACAACTCCGTTGGTCATACGATATGAACAAATGGAAAGAATTTCATACATTTTAGTTTTTCTTATTTCTTGAAATATTAGACTCATTTAGGTACGTACTTCCTAATGTTGACGTATTCAGTACTTACGTGGATGCTGAGATGGTCTGCAATAGGTAATATTATTTGCCTACAGTGTAATATTGTCATTTAAATTGAATTATTTATTGTTACACTTAATATATACACACTCGTATATCTAAGTGTCTATGAAATAGGACAGGTAACCCTTAATACAAGAACAGTTCGTCCGTTATAACTATAGATTTATGACAATGAAATACTGGCAGACAGATTCTTAGAAACTTTAAAGTGGTCTGACTTTAAGAAGACCTTCAACCATTAGGATTGTGGAGGTCAGACGGTAGTCGACCTTAAGACAATAGGATTGGTAACATTATGAGAACTGACCGAGACATAGGAACGTTGGCTCGCCGGCGTATTGCGTGGGGTACGCGGGCGCGCGATCCGCCGGCAGGAAGTAGGGGCAGTGTTGCTCGACGAGCTGGCAGACGGAAAGGCAAGGCTTGAGGCGGACGAGGGGCCGGCCGGGCCCCGCGGCGGCAGCGCGCACCCAGCGGCCCACGACGCCGCCCGCGCCGCCGCGCCGCCGGTCCAGGTGCCCCACGCGCTCGAGGTGCCGCGCGTGCCACCGCGCCGCGTGCTCGGCGGGCGCGCGCCGCGACCTGCCCGTCTCCTCGCTGCCCTCTTCTGACCCTTCTTCCACCCACAATGGCACCATTGTACTGCACGCCCAACGTCGATAAGTTTCCTGAAATTGAAACACATGTTTTATTAATCACTTTTGTGATTGTCAAGCAAAGGATTCAAGTCCTGAATCGGGTCAAGTACTATTATTTGGTTTCTCGGTTTTCAGATTTCATAGTAATAGGATAGTAGTACGAAATTGTACCCGGTTTATTCTGATTGATTCTCTCTTCGTCCCTTGATGAGCCTCGTGTTAAAGTTATGTTTTATAAGGCACCGGGAAATACATATTACATATCTTGCTTGGCAATTCTTAATAGCCTCGAGTTATGACTCATTTTTAAATTTTTTTTACCAACTTTGGACATTCGATTAAGAAAACTGCCTGAAACCTTTTTTGATTCCCAAAAGCAGCTATACCTATATAATTTAACCACGCCTTACTTTTTATATTGTACACAACTATATAAAAAAGACTCCGCAACATGGAACCGCGGGAAGAAAGATGCAGTATAGAGATAACAAATCGGAAGACCGAGCGGTAATCGCCGATCCAATAGATGAGGGAGATACGCGCAATGGAGTCGCCACTATCGGCTCTGAACCCCGCTTATCTAAAACGTCACTCACAACAACAATTTTAATAGTTTTCATTATGTGATTAAATCTCTTGTATGTTGACAAATTGAATAATACATAGAAATGGTTAAAAGTTATCTGTTGACAGACGGCAGAAAAATTATGAAAAATATTTTAAGTCTTACATTAATTATTTTCAGGGGATTCAAACACATGCATAAGTATATTAAGTTCCTACTACAATGCGAAAGAAATAAAAAAATCCTAAAAAAAACTTCTGAAAGATCCTAGTCCTAGTCCTAAGTTAAATGGAAGATTCAAATGACATGGTAAATGAATTAGATTGTTTAGGGAAACAAAGTTATTTAACCTCATAGAGACTTAGTTTCTTCCTAAATTATAATCGCTAGTGTTAAAGTTATAGTTTGGGCAGTAAGAGCCCCGGTGACAGCTAGCGACCAGCGCTGGACCCTTCTCACTTTTATCGTGACAGCATTTTTCATTTCCTCTGGAAATCACGCTCACTAAGCCAGTGATTAATTAGTTATCAAGTTAAGCAGCATTCAAGTTGAGCAAGAAGGTGGAGTGCAGTGTTATTTCAGAATCCTACCCTCTAGAACATGTACAAACAGTTGTCGTAAATCAAGTAAGCTTTCAGACGCGTATCACAATGGCACGTACATATAGACGGATGGTATACGTAACAGAGATCAGGAAATTGTTTCAAACAATTCTACACTATGTGACTACCTAGTATGTAGATATATCAGTATGTAGATTAGATAGATAATAGATTAGATCAATTTTTTATGTAATAAGTCGGCAAATGAGCATACAGATTACCTGATGGTAAGCAATAAGCGCCGCCCATGGACGCTCGTAGCCGGCCTTTTGTGGGTTATTATATTATAGGGATTTAATAATTGAATATGGGGGGTGTAAGCACGGAATAGATAAATAAGGTTGGAATGGTAATGTGGGCGGGGCGAGCGCGCCACAATTATGATTCGAAAATCATAACTCGACCGATTCATTCATTCACCGCGTTTGTTGCGCTTCGGGCTACTTCGTAGAACAGAGCTCTGCTTTAAAATGCCGTGTTGTGCAATTATAACTTGTAAAACAAAAAGTCAAACCGCAAGTATAGAGCGAGGAGGTATATCTTTCCATCGGTAAGTCGAAAATAACATTTAATTATCATTTAATTAGTAAAAAACATAAAATTATTCTGATCATTATGAAATTCCAAACATTAACAATATTATTGCAACAAGTTACAAAAAAATATACATTGCCCGATGTGTACTCGCTTAATCAACGCAATGACCAAGTCCGCTTACAATGTACTGCATGCATTGCGTTCTTTACACTTCGTTTCGTCCTTTGCTCTGATTGGCTGTGATGCAAGGCGCCATGTTTATCGATAGTGAGGTGACCTTGTCGTTAAATAAAATCATCGATAGAATTCTCAAATAATTTATATTTACGTTTGATAAAGATAACTTTTGGATTATTTAATGATAGTATATTTTTAGTTAGACGTACTCGAATAATGAGTAAATTAAATGTTATATTAAATCATTGAATGAATGTGACCGAATGATATAAAGGGACATAGGGTTAAATTGAATTATTGGCAATACTTTAAGAGGTCATTGTACTCATCATTATGAACAACTTTTACTACGGGACCAAACCTGAAATCACGAAAGAAAAACGGCTGTTCCCTTCATTTTGATAAGTCTGAAAAATATTGCCTATGAATGCAATTTCACCCTGTAGATCTGTCATCTACAAGTATTTGCTATATTGTGTTTAGTATTTAAAATATAAGTAAAATGCAATTTTACTTCAGCAATAAATTATACATTTTAGGTTTCCTAAAGAGCCTAACGCCCGAGAACAATGGATTGACGTGACAGGTAGAGGAAACTGGATGCCGACAAAGACGAGTACTATTTGCTCTAAACATTTTACTGAAAATGATTTTATCATTAAAAAATCAGGTTATAGGTACCTAAAACCAGGGACGATCCCAAGAGAACAAATTGTTCAGATTTGTTCAAGTTCTTTGGTAGGTTTTGTCAAAATTTATTACTAACTTGTTGGAAGTTTGTCCCATATTTCATATTCTACTACTATTTATTGTCTCCTACATTATGAACAAATCTGATTTTAGGTTTTATTTTATTTGATTGTTAATTTTCATGAAATATATTTTGAGTATGTATGGAATCTTATAATAATTATTACTGTAGATTAATATCACACTCCGGTAAATGATTATCATCCAAGCTTCCAGCTCTTTAAAAATAATTTAATTTTGATTTTTTGTTTTCTACTTTGTAAGTTTATGTGGCATATTAAGACTTTTGCATTATTTTTCAGACAACTAATTCTTGCAATGCTATAATTAATAAGCCCAGTTACGTTGCTATTTCCGCCAGTGTGCAAAATTGCGAAGGCACTCAGGTAACATAATACTTATATGTTATCTTGAATTATAATCGCTCGTGTAAAGTCAGCTTTTCAAGATATTTTATGCTATTTATAATTTTAGGATTTACAAGCACAGGCTTCATCTTCAACTTTGTTGACGTTGACACCAAAAAGAGATAAAAATTTAAAAAGAAAATACACTGAAGTAAGTTAATTTATACCTACAAAGATTGATCAAAAATCGTTTCATAGTTGTTTTTTTAAAGATTAATGGGTTTACTAATGTTTCTCCAAAGCTTATTTCACAAATTTTCACTTGACAAGCAACGATTCATATATATTATTGATTTCACAAACCACTTGTTCCGCAAATGTTTCATTCATTCATTTATTTGTAGGAAAGCGTAATGTCATCTTCAAATGCAAGCACTCCTAGGAAAAGAAAGCTACAAAAGATAATCGTCAACAAAGAATGTTTAATAAAGAAACAGAGGTTGAAGATAAGAAGGATACAGGCACAAAACCGAAGACTGAAAAAAAAATTTAATAAAATGCAAGATGTTTTAAATGATCTTCAAAAAAAATTTTCATTGCAGGACGAAGATATATCTGTTCTAAAAAATTTAAATGTTAAGGTGATTCCTCTGCCCGTGAAATTTATTTTTTTTGTCTTTTTTTCCAATTTACAGGTCAGTTTCAGCTTGTATTGATGATTCTTATGGTTATAATTATGTAAATACATACTTGTTATTGTCACGAATTAAATTTTCATCAAGATACAAGCTGAAATTTACCTGTAAATTGCAAAAAACGACAAAAAAATAATAATATTGCTGGCTACATCGATGGAGGTGGCCTTATAAAAATAACAGAGATAATGAAGATATATTATTTTAATTTTATTCACAGATACAAGAACTGACAAATCGTATGATAGCAAAAAGTACTGGTGGTGGCCCATCTAAGCAAAAATATAGTCCAGCTCTGCGTAGTTTTGCGCTAACACTTGACTATTATTCGCCTAAGGCGTATGAATACGTACGCAAAACTTTTGATACTTGCCTCCCGGATCGCCGTACGCTTCGAAAATGGTACCAAAATATGGGAGGTGATCCTGGTTTTACTGCAGAATCCATAGAGGCGTTAAAAATAAAAGTGAAAAGCACGAAATATCCCATTATTGCAGCCCTTTCCTTGGATGAAATGGCTATACGTCGTCGTATAGAATGGGATGGAAAAAAATTACTCGGACATGTTGATATTGGCAGTGGCATCGAAGGAGACCACGTAGGAATAGCCAAAGAGGCTCTGGTATTTCTGGTGACAGGCATAAATTGTAATTTTAAGGTTCCCGTTGGATATTTCTTAGTTGACGGAATTAACGGAAGACAACGCGCAGACTTAATTTTACAATGCTTGGAACTTATAGCAGAAACAGGCATACAAATAATTTCCCTAACTTTTGATGGATGCGCTGCAAACATTGCAATGGTAGAATGCTTAAACTGTTCAATCAAAGATAAAAAAATTTCTTTTCCACACCCGTCAACGAATAATCCAGTTGTTGTAGTGCTAGACCCATCACACATGATAAAATTAATCCGTAATGCTTTTCAATGCTATAACACATTTTTAGATAAAGATGGTAATACCATAGAATGGCGATTTTTGGAACAATTAAATAACCTTCAAATGAAGGAAGGCTTTCATTTAGCGAACAAGCTTCGTTACCATCATGTTCATTTTCAAAATAATAAGATGAAAGTTAAGCTCGCAACGCAATTGTTCAGCCTAAGTGTAGCAGACGCTATAGACTTTTGTCGTGACCAATTAAATCTACCTTCATTCAAAAATAGTGAAAGCACAACATTTTTTTTGAGGATTATCAATAACATGTTCGACATTTTTAATTCCCGAAACACATATGAATATAACTTCAAAAAAGCTCTAACAGAATCCAACGCTGCAATGCTGCTTAATTATTTAGACATGGCGACGACGTACCTATCCGAGTTGAGAACAGAAGAGGGAACTCTTTTGACAAAAAGTTTACGTAAGACTGGTTTCAATGGTTTTATTGGATGTGCTGAAGCTGTTAAACATTTTTATGAAACGTTAATACGTCCTGGAGTTCTGATTTTTATGCCATTTTACAAAGTAAGCCAGGATCACCTTGAAATGCTTTTTGGAAATATTAGGTCACATGGTGGAGGTAACAATAACCCCACGGCCCGCCAGTTTAAAGCTGCGTACAAAAAACTTTTAGTTCATATTGAGTTAAAAGCTCTCGATAGTGGAAATTGTACTGCGCTTGAACACATTTCAATTCTTGATTGTGCATCATCTCCTGTAGCACGGATTAATAGATCCATACGAAGGATTGCGATTGAAGATGACGATGATGATGATGATAATAATAATAATGAAGAGGATATTAACGCATTTTTCAATACCATCTCAGATTTTAGCAATCAAATCATTAGCCATATTTCAGGATACATAGCGCATATTTTAATTAAGAAAATAGATTGTGATATTTGCATTGGAGCGCTGTTGTCCAATAGCATAAATGAAGACCATAAATTTATAGTTGCTAAAGATAAGGGTGGTCTGTTATACCCGTCAAGAGATTTGATACAGATTTGTAAAATTTCAGAGTCTGTTATCAAAATTTACACGGAAAACCTCCGTAATATAAACAAAAAAATGTTGATGGCAAAAATTATGCGTCATTTTGTAGGAAGTGAAATATTTAAAAACATAATTTATCATCAAATTGGCCAATACCCTACAGCAAACCACGTCACAGACCTCACCAAAGCAATTGTTGAAAAATATATTAACGTAAGGTTACACTTTGTTTTGAAAAACTCTTTAACCATTGATAGCAAGCGCCAATTGCTTAATAAATACGTTTTATTCCAAGGACAGTGATTATTTGTAATTAATAAAAGTAAAATAAATATTTCTTAATATTTATTTCATGTTTCATTTTTTCCCATGCATTCATCAGATATTTATCGATAAAGAATATCGACTTTATCAAGCACTAGCGCGTATGAGCTTTTTTGCATGTGTGTGTCTATGCCTACGAGACCTTAGAGCTAGTGTGCGAACGAATCTCTGCCCTGAGATTTATGTGTGTGTGATTTGGTTGTGTGCGAAATATTTGTAAACATACTAGTGCGTATGTGTAGAAATTAAAATAGTGGGAGACAAGCGGCGACACTGGTCCTAATACAAAATTGGAGCTAGGGCCTTTCCAACCTTATTTATCTATTCCGTGGGTGTAAGGATTGAGCCTCCGGTAACCTCACTAACACGGGGCGAAACACAACGTCAGAGTTTCTTCGAGCCGAGTTTCATGGTGATGAATGAGAATAAAATTGTATGTAATTTACATTTTTAGATTTTATTACATACTTCGACACAGTTCCACATCATAAAACAGTGTTAACATTTATCAATGTCAACACACAACATGTAAATTTTAACACGCTTATGTATTACCTGTGTTCACAAATAAATTGATTTGATTTGATTTGATCTATTCAATTAATTTATAGAACGAGATAGGTATCACCAAAGAGTTTTTTTTAAAAGATCCAATACTAAATGCGTAATTTTTGTAGGTATATGAAATAAATAAAAAATAAAGCAAAAATTCTCTTGATGTTGGTTAACTACTTAACTTCGCTAGTTAAAAACTATATGAAGTAACAAAAGCATGAATAAGTAACAACATTGATGATAATGTAACGCAAATATTTAGTTGTTAAGGTGTAATGTCCACAACGTATCGCATAATTGATGTTGCACGTTAGTCGGGGTGCCCCAATTAACACACCCCGATCGCTTAATATCCAATACAATGTCCTTTTACGAGCGTTCATTTAATAGCTCGTTGACACTGCATTCCACCTATAAACATTACGAAACGTATTAACGTATTACCAAACATTGTTTTTAATTACTATCAATACTTCTCCATTTAATCGTGTCATCTGATTATTAAGTGTTATTAAATCTGGTACAATACGGTAGTTTCCAACTAGTTAAATTCAATCCAAATGTCAAAAACGATACTTTTCTATGAAATTTGTATGAAAAATTTAGTTTTTTTAATTAGCTACAAAATATCTAAAACTTAGTATATCGACCGATCGATGAATAAAATTATAGTTATTTTTCAATATTTCATTGTATTTAAATGTCGAATTAATTTATTTTTGACCTACATAACTACCCAATTGAATACAGATTTCCATTAGGAACTCTTTAGTTTTATTAAACACTAGCTACTTTCACGCGGTTTCACGCGGTTTCACACGCTGCTCGGCTCCATTTGATCGTAGCAAAGATTACCCCCTATATACAAACTTATAAATTTTACCTCTTTATAATAATATTATAGTATAGATGTAAAGACAATTGATGACTAAACTTATTCCATAGTACATAAGATATGTTTTAAATTGTTATTGTCGCCATATAAAACATAATCAGGCATACTGAAGTAGGCCTTCAAACTTGTAGAACCTACCTGATACCTAAAGCACTTAGGTATTGCCAAAATTTGATGGCTGTAACCTTCTATAGATCACTAGGTCTACAAGCACGCAACTACTTACATTATACATGAAGAGGTTGCGTGTTTTTTATTTTACCGCACAACTCTAGTTTGATTTGGTCACGCTTTACTTTCGTTATGAATTATGAGGTTAAAAGGTTTGATGTCAATTACTCTAAAAAGGATTATTAAATAAAGGTGAATGTTTCATTATTCATTATTAATAATCGAGGCATGCAAATATCGAGGCACCCATAATGATACTGCATGGTTACATGGTACCGATTCAAAACATCTGGAAGCCATTAAGTTTATATAAAACTTGGTGTACTACGTTCGAATTGTTGAGTATAAATGGAGTAGACAACAATAAATCATCGCACTATACGCCGCCTATCCCACGAGGTACATCATAATAATATTTTCTAATCACGTAATGTTGGGTGTTGCGGCGCGCGGTGTGCCCGGGTGTCTAACAAATCAGAACAAATGAACATCATGTCAAGCAACGTCGTCTCAGCGGGCGCCGGTGCCTCGATCCAACGCCCCGGGGTGGCTGGGGGACGGGGTGACCGCCTCCAACCCTATATCCAATCAATCATAGAGTGGGCGCGATGTGTCGCTCGATAACCGCATCCATGTGAGCTTTCTGTTTATACTATTACCTTTTAATAAGTCAAGGTAAAACTAATGATTTCTTTTATTGACACTGCAAACATTTTTTAAGTAACATTTTTATAATTTTTTTGATCGTAAACATACCACGAATTGAATTCACCTTATACAAAGCATATAAAATTTCACTTAAAAAAATAAGTAAAACATATTAAATTCGACGAACTCTCAGAACCAATAAGGTTACAGGTTATGTTTGGAGAGTGCCCCGTTAAAGTAGGAAAAAGAAAATATTTTCCTGTTACCGCTAAAGTGGGAGCTACGAAATGCTACGAATGCCTACGAAGTGCTACGCGACATGACAAATTATTCAAACACAAATGTTAAGTTATTGCTGAAGGTAATAAAATGGCTTCTGATATACATATTTATCTATCTGAAATGTATTAAGCGTTATTGCATGTTATCCTAAAACAAACTAAGCATGTTCCGAAATTGTGAAAACCTCTGTAACCGACTCCTTTC